TGGTTCAAAAAGCCGTATCCTCTTTGAGTGATCCCTGTTCACCACTTCCCAGGTTGTATCGTGTGAAATTGGGGTGTGATCCTTGGCCACATGGTGTTTCAGGTTTAATGGCTTCTGGCTAGCGCCCCCGAACCGAGATATTGACAATTGGAAGGAGCCACCAACATAGGGCTGGATAGCTCAGTTGGTTAGAGCACTGGTACGGTATTCTAGAGGTGGCAGGTTCAAATCTCGCTCCAGTCAATTTCTTAGTTCATCTTCATTAGCTTTAAGTACGTTTAGAGCAGGGCGGGCTTATTTTGCACATGTGCAACCAATTAATGCGGTTGTTGTCTACCGTCTAAGGCGTGAGGTCAAAATACGGTCGGTTTGGAAACAGTTCAACGGTTGGTGATAATCCCCCTTTATTCCGTTCGCCTTTTGGTGTTGGACAGTTCAACGGTTTGAAAAGAACCGTCTGCCCTGGACTGTCTAGCTTCACGAGTAAACCCTGACAACAAAGGAGTTTGTGGCTTACACAGCCATGGTTGTGAACAAAAGATCCTATTCAAGGAGAACTTCACTGGCCCCGGTCAGCTTTCTGGGCTGACCGTAAGGATTAGTGGTTAACACCTTGCGACAGAGACGCAAAATCAACTGCACTCTAGGTTGCAGACATTTCTCTAGCTTCAAAAACGTTTTGAGTGGGTATTTCATGACAAAAAGACATCTCCACAAGATCATTGTTCGTCTTTAAGGTTTTTAGACTGGAAAATAAATACGTTTATATGTGAGTGACGGGAAATGCCAAACACAGTGGCCTCATTTATACCGCCTGATCTATCGTCCCTGAAAGGAATTATCCACATAGACACTATATGAATTTATTTTGAACTTCAGTCACGTGTACCATATTCTTTGAAAGTTATAAAAAAAATCTAACTTCGCATCAAATAGTGCTGCACAGACAGGTCTCGGAATTTTTGCCGAACTTTGCATCGGTTGGGGCTTGGACGCGTACAATGTACACTGAGACATCGAAAGGTTCACTACGATCGTACCGCAAAGGCCTATATAGCATTTATGTGTATAAAATTATTATGAGTCTATGTACAAGGCACGTGGGTGTGTGAGCGCTGTGTGTGGCAGCTCCTGCAAATCTCCTGCAAATGTCGTCTTTTTAATCGTCTTTTACTCTGAAATTCTTAGTTTTCTACCATCTGTGTTGCTATTGTCCGTCATTGGTGTTCGTAAGTTGTTCGTAAGTTGAGCTTTTTCGGGAAACGTTGCTTGAACATTTGTTTTTAATGTTCTTATACCACGAATGAAACATGACTGTGCTCACTCATCCATTCAAGCCTGACCACTGAACCGTTTACCGTGTATCTTAATTTGTGACAACTGGAACTCCACGGACGAATCTACTTAGCATGACGCGGAGGGTCTATTCGGCCGGATTTTTACACGAGGCTCGGAAAATGTGTCCAACTTCAGCTAAACTTCCACTAAATGTCTTCGCAATTTTACGGGATCTTAAACTCTGTCGGAAACCTCCCACACGACGAAAGTTTTCCGGTGGGAAGCATAATTGCCGCCGCCCATGCTACAGTGTCCAAGATAAAGTCACCATTCCCGTAATAGCAGGGAGACGGCAGCCATCTTGGAATTTTCATGGGCATGCCGTGAATTGCCGTACTTTGAATACCAATCTCATTGTGGTGAGAAACAGCACTCATGATCGACACCAACGTACATTAACTGTAAGTACATGGAATGCACGATCGGTTTGTAACAAAACTGCTGACGTATTAGAACTGTTGCAAGAAAAAGACATTGATGCTCTAGCAGTAACCGAAATGTGGTTAAAAAATTCAGATGACGTCACTGTCTCTGAACTTACCTGTCACGGTCATAAGTAACTGCACAGTCCAAGACAGAAAAAGCCTGGAGGTGGCGTCGGTCTTTTGTACAAGCCTGAACTTGACATCCGTGAACGGCCAAAAACCTTGACAGTTACAACCTTCGAGTACATGGATTGTAACATCCTGTGTATGAATGCAAAACTTCGGCTCTTAATTCTGTATCGCCCACCCTCTTCAAGTGTCAGCATGTTCCTGACTGAATTTGGTCACCTTCTAGAGGAGGTACTCTCCACATCAACAGAGTTCCTTATTATGGGTGATTTTAACGTACATGTCAACAAGACAGATTCTCGTGAGACAAGGACATTCATCAATCTCCTTGAGTCATGTGATCTGAAGCAGCATGCCAAGGAGCCTACTCATAACCGTGGTCAAGTGTTAGACCTCATTGTCACTCGTTCATCTTCTGACATCATTAGAACAATT